GAGGAAAAGAAAGTGGGGGGGAGGGAGGGAGAGAGAGAGAGAGAGAAGAGAATGAATATGAATGTATGTAGTAGGTATGACATCAGAGTCCTACCCCAAATCCAAAGTTTGGTTACTTTTCTTTCCTTGCTGAAACAAAATTAAGAAAGGAAAGGTTTATTTTAGCTCAGTTTATGGAGGTTTCAGTCCATTATCAGCTGGCTCCAAGGCAGGGTGGCACAGCACAGGGGCAACAGTTCAAGGCAGTAGAAGACAGCAAAAGCAACAAGAGCAAAAGGGGGGGGGAAGCAAGCCTCTTTTCCTCCCTTATATTGTATGCAGGCTATTCACCCATGCCATCTCTATGCCCTCTTCTTTCACAAACTCAGGAGTTTATAAAGTAGGACTCTGGCCCCGTGCTGAATTAAGCATCTAAACTTTTCAAATTGACATAATTTTTATCTACCACTGCAGCTAGAAACTCAAGCTGAGTAGGATCTGGGAACCTGTATTTATAAAAAGTTGCCCAGGTGATTCTGTTTTATTACTGGGTTTGGAAGTCTTTAGACTAGATGTCTGTTTTACATTTGGTGGGGTTAGGGAGCAAACACAGACCCCTGTGAATGGTAGACAAGAGCTCTATCACTGAGCCATATCCCTAGCCCTAGACTAGACAATCCTAAGAACATCAAATAAACCTGTACCAATTGCTAGAATTTTAACTGTTATGTGTCAATGATTCTTATACATCAAAACATCAGGTTGCATGCTTTAATTATAATACAATAAAAATGAATTTTTCAAGAAAATGGAAAGGAGTGACCCAGGAGCCAGAAATGCAAGCCAACCAATGCATGGCCTTGGCAATACAGAGCAACACGTTCCCAGAGGCTCAGATGACTTGATTTGTAATACAAAAGAATGTGGCAGCCATCCACACATGTGCCAGTCTCATGAATGGGGATGAAATGTCATCTGAGAGCAGGAATGGGAAAAAGCAGACTTGTTTGTTTGAGTCTGTTCCTCAGACCTAATCTTATTCTCAGTCTCCCTAGGGAAACTGAGGCAGTGTACTAGATTTTTATGTTTACTTACCAAACTTGCCAGTACATATCAATTGTGAAGAAAACAAATATTGTGATGGTAGGCCTATGATATACGTGCCTCAGAGAGCACACACAGCCTTCTAGACAATGAGGTCATGAATTGTATGCGTTGTTTTTTTCTAAACTAAAACCTCAGTACTCAGGTTTAATTGCAGTGTTGGCACTTTGCAATAAGTGAGTTTTGGGTTGTAATTTGAGCACTGAGTCTCTAAAAGGTTTGCCAGCACTGAGTTACAATATTCTGGATTAAAGTTATCTGGGCATCCTGAATGCATCAGAACACTAGAGTGTGTACTAGGTAATGAGGACCCCTTCTCTCTTGTTTTCTACTGCTGTGAAACTGACATAAGCTCTAAATAAGTATGAGATGGCTTCAACCATAAGGAAAAAAGAGAAAAAAAAATCACTTGGCCCCTTGTATAATCATGTATTCAGTGAAAGAGAATAAGTAAAAGATATAAACCTAAAGTGTAGCTCATTATTCTCTAATTCATCAAATATGTAGTACTTTGCATGGGCCTGACTCTTCACAGCACTGGAACCACAGTGATAAACACCCTGTATAGTATTCATGGAGCTCACAAGCGAATAGGGGAGATGCATTATTACTAAAGCAATCAAGATTAATGTCAGACAGTGCTAAGTGCTATAAGAAAGAACAGGATAGGTATCCAAGCAAAGATATAGAGGAAGGGATGCAGCAAACTCTGTTTTTTTTTTTTTTAAAAAGCCGAGAAGTGTTACTGGAGAAGGACACAGCAAGGACAAGTGCTTGGCAGGTTTGGGGAACTATAAAATTGTTCCTCTTACCTGATTGGAAGGGGTTAATAAGTAAGGAGGGGAAGGCCAGGACAGGAAGGGTCTTCAAGGAAGGTCAGGACAGGAAGGGTCTTCAGGATTATATAAACAGGATTTTGGCTTTTGCTCTAACTATGAAGGGAAGCCACTTGCAAGGTCTTTTAGTTTTGCTTTGTTCTCCTTCCCTCCCTCCTCTCAGGGCCTCATGCATGGTAGATGAGTGCTCTGCCACTGACCTATACTCCCAGCCCTCTGGAAGGTTCTGAGCAGAAAAACTGCATGATGTGACTTATGTTAGGGTGTTCTGTGTGGGAGGGGAGGGAGGTGCTGGTGAGGTCTTGTTCATTTTTTTTCTTTCTTTTTAGATTTATTTATTTGGTACAGGGTCTCACTAGCAGCTTGGACTCATAGTGATCTTCCTATCTCTGCCTCCCAAGCACTAGGATTACAGGTGTATACCATCACACCCAGTTTC